TTGTGAGGATGGGTTTGAAAAAGCAAAACCCAATGGATTTCATCCCGGTTGCCATCTTGAGCTGAGTCCAATACTATGGTGAGCTGAGTCCAATACTTGCCTGAAGCTGTCAAGATCAAATCCGTCGACAACTGAGGAAAGGCGTGCCTTCCTCACGTTCATCACGTTCAGCTTTAATGTGGACAGGTGTGCTGCTAGATTTCTAATGTGAAAAGCACCCCGCAACTCGGACCCACTTCGCCTTGTCGCTCTAGCTATCTACCCTACCGCAACAAGATACGGATACGGATACGGATACAAAAAAGTCCGTGCTTTGCATACATCCTATCGAATACCCGCTTCCGTGGCCTCGGATCGCAATGAATGAATGATACCCTAGTATATACAGTGCCGCTGTCCGCTGCACCTTCAACGGGCCGATCCAAACGGACGGTGATTTCGTTTGTTTTTTATTCATTTGGGTAGGCCGTTCGCTCTGTGTCTGTCCTGTTTTTCATATGGGTCGGCAGCGCGTCCAATGCGCCTACCTATATATGCAGGCGTGGCCGGCTGGCCGCCCAATTTTTACATTGCATTCAACATATTATGAAATGAAAATTTAACAAGCAAAATAGTTTAGCCGCCCAAATAAATAGTATAGTTTTATAGATCAAATAGAAATAAAAATGTTTCACATAGTTTTACAAACGAATAAAAGAAGATACATTTATTGATTGCCAACATGAGTCCACATATGCTCAACCAAATCATTTTGCAGTTGCACGTGAGTTTTCCAATCACGCATGTCTTCATGAAACTGAGTGAACTCCTCAAATGTTGCCGCCACTCCATGATCAGGCACAACATTCTCACCCTGAAACTGAAAGCCTTGATTGCACAGACGTTCCGGGCGCTCGTATTCTACAATCATATTGTGCATGATCACACAAGCAGTCATCACCTCCTATAGTTTCTGCGTGCTCCAAGTATTAGCAGGATACCGAACGATACCCCATCGAGATTGCAAAACACCAAAGGCACGCTCGACATCCTTTCTAGCACTCTCTTGCTCTTGGTGAAATCTTTTCTTTTTCTCTCCGACAGGATTGGGTATTGTCTTTACAATAATGGTCTTGTTTCCAGACTTGGTTTATGTGTTACTATCCATCACGATTCACGACGCTGCAGGCAGCCACTTGTTTGCCATCCCCAAAGGAGGATCCAAGGTACTAGTACTGTACCACCGTTGACCACCGTACCACAACGGGACAACACACACTAGACACTACTACTAGTATCCATTTCTTTTCACCATTCCAGCATAATTATCTGAGGACCATAAACATCTCACTGACGGTGCCAGCAGTTTTCGCATGAAAATAAAAACCCCATGGTTTGTAGCAAAAATGCAAATAATGCCATCTGCCACCGGTCGCGGTCCTAATTTATTTTGCCACAAAGATAAAAACATAAACATAAAACCGTGGCATGCAATGCAATGCGCATCATCATGGCGCGCAGGCACAAACTTTACTTACAACCGCCAACCACCGACATGGACATGGGCCTTCTGTCCATGTACTGTGGCATATTTTTCAAATGACTACTGATTTTGCTACTTCCAAATTATGCTAAGAAACCAGACCATGTACTGCTACCTAGCTAATGATGATTTCTTACCTTCAGCCTTTGCCTTTTACCTTGAGCTGCACACCAAAATCACTACCTGTAAAACACAACCCCTAAATAATTAATTCAGTGTAACCGAGAAAAAGAGAACCAGCAGAGGAATTGGCTCATTAGCATTATATTCTGTAGATATGTATTCGAGATAGCAGATACAATTTCTTTCTTTTTTAACATGTGATAGTTGAGAATTTCTTTTACCGGCACAAGACCAGATCTGATAAGAGAGGGGACGATCGGTACCAACCTGGGTCGGCGGACAACAACAATGTGCACCGCACCAACGAGACAGTAGCACCAGTCCAGCAGAAATGAAACACACAATTCAGTGCAACGAAAAGAAGCCTGCATTGTAAAAATTCTCAGATATTGTTTTCAGAGTTGCAGCAATGTTACAAGCATATAAGCTCTCAAAGTACCACATGTACATTGAAATTAAAGAAACAGTAATTCTATTCTACTCGGCGTTGAACCTCCTCTCCCCAACAGAAACGAAACACACTATTCTGCAGTGTAAAATTCTTAGGGATTGAGTTCAGTTCACACAGTGGCATTGTTACAACAATATGCAAACTATGCGGCCAGGATGACGAGACTCTCCACCACCTCCTCCTTGGGTGCGTTTTCTCGCGCATCATTTGGCATGACATCTTGGCCTGGTGCCGCATGCCTGCAATGCCGCCCGATGGCAACACCGACTTCTTCGAATGGTGGACGGCGACAAAGACAAATGTGCCGGCAACAAGCCTTCGCAAGGGTCTTAACTCCCTAACCATCCTCACTTCATGGGCCATATGGAAGCACCGCAACGCAATCCTCTTCGACAACGCAACACCCTTCCACGGCAACCTTCTAGACGACATCAAACAGGAGGCGAAACTATGGGCAAGAGCCGGCGCCAAAGGGCTCGACAGGATCATTCTTGTAACATAAACTGTAAACTTGGAGGCTGAGCATCCTCCTACTTCTCTCTGCTCACCCCTGCGCCCGGGCACCGCCGTGTATTGTGTACGATGCCCGGGACGCTAACCTTGTACTCTATCCCACCCTATCAATGGAATGATATGCAATCTCGCGTATTCGAGAAAAAAAAATTGTTACAACAATATGGCGCTCCGGAGTTCTGGGCGGCACCGGAGACCGCTGGCAACGGCCGGAGGAAAAAAAATGAACAGAAACCGCACGGATTGACTTACAGTTTCAGGTTCAAATCTTGCACCTTCTTCTCCCCTTTATTAGAAGTATATCCTTGAGTATTGCTCTCTCGCTACTTTGTGCTTCAGCGTCATTATTATGAAGCCTTTATGTCTATAATATGAAAGATGAGAAACCAGTTGTGCCTGATACTGAAGAACAACAGCTAAGTAAATGGCTCGGTCTTTCTGCTTAACATGACCTACAAACCCCTTTCTTTGTACATGTATTAGGAAGAAGGCGAACAAATTTGAAGTCAGAAAGCAAGTTTTCGTATAATTTTTATAAAGAATGTTTAAAAGCTACTATGAACTGAAATGGTTGTAAACTCATTAAACTTTCTCCACTGCAGCGTTGCTAAAAGAGGAAGACTTGCCGCTGCACATCAATACTGATTTGAATCCAAAAGTTGAACTTATGTAAATACAGGACAAGGCTGGTTCTAAAAGGTAGAACGCCGGAGGTTTCGGGTGGCATAATACACAAGCACGCAAATAAATTCAAAAGGTGATGCTACACAAAGAATTATGCTACCCATTTACCCCATTGGCATCATTGGAAGTTGCATGCTTATGTGTTGGGGAACCAGATCAACACAAAGAAAGTCATAATTATGAGGTTCAATTTAACGGTACTAAATTTGCCTAGAAAAACAATTTTCACCAATGAAACACATATGATTTGAGTGTTGACGAATTTGGTTGCACTCACAAAGGTTCAGGTAGCAGGTTATCCCACAAGTTTTAATTTCCCTGAATTATCCATGCAATGTCTGACTGATAAAATGGTGTACCAAAATAATGAACGGTTAGACAAACAGATTCTGGAAACATTAAGCTTCGAAATTAAAAAACATAGAGCAAGGTGTGGGATTGCTGAAATGAACAATGGCAACATCATACAAATTACACCCTGTTTGTTAGAAAACGTGTGGAGTATATATCCTTGAGAATCTTTTAGAGCTTGTGATCTCCTAAACCTTGTAATTCTTGCAGCCAGCATACACACAGAGAAGAAAAGAATTTCCATCTCATACAGAAAATGCGTGTCTATATTCAGGCACACATAATCTTACCCCAAAGCGAAGAAAACTGATACATATACACATGATATTCCTGCAAGAATGTGCCAAGAATATCGAGAATTAATATCAAGTATAAAAATGCATGGTCAGCAGGTGAAACAAACACAAAACATACAATCAGGTGAAAGTAGCGGAACCCAACACGAACCTGGACGGGAGGAGAAGCTGATTCCGTACCATGTACACAAGGCCATCGAGGACGAATCGGGAGCAGAGGAAGCCGAGGGAGAAGGGCTGCGTATGGGCAGCATCCAGGCTGCGGAGCGTCATCCCCAACCTCGACGGCAGCACTACCAGCAGCCCATGGCGGCGCTCCTCAATGTCCTCAATGGTCTCCATTGGTGTGGTCATCGGCCATGGCGAGCGAAACGGGCAGAGAAAGAAGGATGAAAAAGAGGAAAAGGGTGTGGGCGTGCAACTGCCTCCCTTGGTGGGGAAGGAACAAAACACTGTCCATTTCCTTCACCATTCCACCATCATTACGACCGTTGAGTTCCCCAGGATCAACATATCACAGTGGCAGTTTTCACATGAAAAATGCTATTGCATTTGCTGCAAACAAACATAAACAGCGGCATTATCATCATCGGCCAGTCTGCCTTTGGTTGGCAGCAAACCTAACAACCTTTTTCTTTATATATAAACACTCGAACGACCACACAAAAAAGCTACACATGTCAAGTCATCTTCACCACCACCAATCCACTTCCTTCCCAGGTACTTACTGTACTAGTAGTAGTAGTAGGATACATCTCAAGGAACAAGAGAAGCACGATTACACACTATGGCAAACACAAATTATGATCCATCGATCGATGCTACTAAGGGCCCAAAAGAATACAATACAGTGCTTCCTTTTCTCTCCTCTCCGGTGCAGCAAGGAGAACCCACCCCGCCAGCCCCTTCCTTCCTGCCCAGTCATTATCATACCTTCGACAGCGCTTCATCGTCTTGGTGGCAAGATGGAAGCTTCTGGGCGGTGTTAGATGAAAAACTACTGCAATGTACGGCTGACAACTGTGGAGATGCTACTGTTTGTTCCAGCATCGTCTGGGTTTCATAGCAACCCAGCTAGCATGGCACCAGGGTCGTTATATGTTGTCGCCGGCACCGCTGCTGGAGGCAGCTGTGGTTGTTGTGGAGTGGGAGGGGGGGCCACTCGAGCCCTCGGGATGTCGATCAAATGTTCCTTGATATACTCCTTCAACCTGTTCAGCGGAAAATAAGTACGAGATCAGCATTTGTTTTTCTTTCCAGTATAAGCCATAACCATGAATGAATTGCTGCTGACTCTAGAGGTGAAAGGAGGAAGGAAGGTATACTCGAATGTCAGGTTTTGATCTCCTGATGCAACTGTTAGCCGGAGCTGACTTCTGTCTTGGGGATCTGTTTCAACTCTCACCTGCAAAATGGTCAAAGGGCATCAGATTAGAAACCTAAAATTTATAACTAGATGAAATCATAGCTTATAAGACAAAACTGAAGATGGCACCCCAAGTACTAAAATGGGACAGCACATAAAAGCATGCATATTTCAAGGATTAGCTAAGAATTTATCCTAGCTAATTGCTCGATGTATCAGAAATATTCAGGTGTAACATTGTCCTACATGGTAGTAGTTAACAGGACAATTTCCTAAGAGATTCAGTGAACCAATGAAGCCGCTGTACATAAGTATACTGAACTATACATTACCCTAGCTAGTAAGAAGGATGATGCAGCATAAGCTGCATAGCAGAACAGAGATGCACCGCGTCACCAGTAGCACAAGAGGCTAGAAAAAAAAAACCACAAAAGCCACATGCACAGTCTTCTAATTTTCTATTGGGCTATTTGGCATGTTGAAATGTATCTTAAATAATGGCAGGCATGTATTGGTTTGTGCAGTCAACTTGGCTTGAGCTTCTTATCTTACGTCTAACCAAACGGTGCTAGCTAGTCAACATATTGTGTAGATAACGGACATGATGCCAGAATAGCTCAGTAACTGAGAGACTGGTTGTATACAACAGCTTAGTTTCTTCCCAGAGGGATACCCAAACTAGCAATTCAATGGACTGATCGCCAGGATACTTACCAGACAAAGCGCGGCATTGGTTGTTTCCGAAAAGAATGTAGCACACGCCACCATGTTGTTCGGGTTGGTATCCTAGTAAAACGAACAAGTTCAATAATTCGAAATTAAAGAGCTAAAAAAACATGGGGGAATGGAGCAACATACAAGTCCAGGAGTAACTGCCAGGTGAAGGCTCAAGAGAAGGCTAGCCATCTCAGGAATAGGTAATGGTTTTACACCTCTAACCTGTGTGTTCACATAAAAAAAAGGGGTTCATTAGAAAGGCTGATCCAGTAAGCCCTTAATAAAGTAATGCTGATGATCACTACTAGTACTTAGCAGTTCACTAGTCCATAACACAGGTGAGTCCTTACCACTTCTTGAACCTTGAGTGACTGAACATTCCATGTTTTCCAATGGGCGAAAAAATCTTCAGGGGAAAGAGTTATAGGTTGCAAGAATTTATGCAACACAATAGGAAGTCGAAGTTTAGCGTTCACCTGAGTAAGCAAAGCAAATACACTGCTGTTACATTGTGAGAAAACAAAAGAATATCTGAACTCTCGGGAAAAATGATGGCATAAAACAATCACCAGTGCAGCTCCATGTTTATATGAGAAATCAAGAACAGCAACATCTCTACTCGCGCGGAGATTTGTAACCTCGACTGGGATTTGCACCTGAAGAACATAGAAAAATGAAAATGAGATTAATTCAGGAAAGAAAACATGGAAAACGTGAATTGTACTGCAGCGCGTGGTACCTGTGCTCTAGGAGGAATAGTATCAGGTACTGACGAGAGTTCCACTTTAAAATGGCTAGGAGGCAAAATCAAAGCCCTCAATGACAAAAGGGGCGAAGTATTTTTATTCCCCAGGAAAAGAATAAGACGACCATGATGGGCCCGCCACTCTGCTTTTAAACCAATCTAGAGGTAGGGAAAAAGACCACACAGAGGGTTCAGGCAGCAGAGATAAGAAATGCTCAAAAGGAGGAAAAAAGATCAACGACTTCTGCAAACCTGGATGTTAGGATCCTCATACAGAACTCCACTATCTTTCGTGCACAATATATTAAACTTCTCCTCCACATTGACAATTGGCTGTAGAAAACAGAGTTGGTCAGCAGAAGAAAGCAGCCAGCACATATAAAACTGAATGACAGTATGACATATTCTGCTGATGCCGCCACTAAATAGTGAGCATACAGCCATGAAATAGTTCCATATAAAGACACTAATGTTATGAGAAAGTATTGTAATACCTGAACAGAGTTGGACTGGTCCTCAAGGGTAGCTAGTGCCAAGTCACCTACTGGACTTTGATTAGCCTCCAATCCTTGAGCAGGAATTTGCTCTACAGCAGCAGGAGGACCCTCTATTGCAAGAGGGCCCAAAAGGTCTGCAAGGAGGTCTGCTTGAGAAGCAGGACGAGATGCAGGAGGCTCAACTTTACTAACAGGAGCGGGCTCAGTGATGATCTCGACATTTCTCTGAACTTCGACGGGAGCACCATTTTCTTTTGGAGCTTCTACCGCTGTTTCTTCATGACTGACATTGCTCTCCTGAATATCATAAATATTGCTTAAATGAAACTCACGAATGATGCCCAATGTATTTCATAACTAAGTAAGAAGGTCATACTTCAGCAATGTTTTGACTTGGCATCTTCACAAGAGTTAGATGATTAGCAGCTGGTGCTGGTCCGTTTACAGGGGGCTGAGCAGCTACAACAATAGCACTGGATGATTGTTGCTGACTTCGTAGTTTTATGGCACTCTGCTCTGCTGTGTCAACTTCAGCATCTTCAGCCTTTTTCAACAGAGCAGACTAGATTCGACATGCAAATACATAATTAAAAAGTTAACATGAATCCTTCTTGATGTACCAGCAAATATGAGTACACATTACACGACTAACAGGTAAACAGGATACATGTTTACCTCACGTTCAGGAAATTTTGGCATTTCAGCCAATACATCAGCCAAAGCAGGACCCTTTCTGCTTAGTTCAAAATATTCAACTGCTCTCTGCTGAATTTCAACATCGATATAACTTTCATGCCTGAAATGTAACGTAAGCGTAAAAAAAACTTCAGACATAAAAAAGGTGGCGTGTCATCAAAGCAGAATGAGTAAACTGGTACTTTTTAAATATTGTCAGGATTTGTTGCTGCAGTCCCGCATCAGGAGGCTGAGTGTGCATAAGTATCTTGGCATAGGCTGAGATAATAATGGCAACAGTACTTGACCTGATGAAAAATCAGAGAATTAAATTTTTACATTAGAGCAGAAAAAAGAAGTTACTCAAGGAAGTCCTTTTTACAACTTACGATACTGTTGGAAGCCTGTCATTTATAATGGTAAACAACTCCTTGGGGCTACAACTAGGTCTTTGGGCCAAAAGGTGGCCATACTCTCCAAGAAGGTAAGCACTGACCTGTATTGGCACGAGAGTAGGATAATGTGAAGTAAAACACAATACAGACAAGAAGGGTGGATACTTGGTAGGTAGATTGGATTCCTTTATGACAGACAAATAAAAGGCATAACGAAAAGTCCAAGTTTAAATGAGGTCAATCATGAATAAAGGTATGTTTTATTTACTTATCAACACTTCAACAGACTGTACTGCTAGTTAAACACAGGTTTATAGTGGGGCTCTACAAATTAAAACGATCGAACAGTTCTGAAAAATCAAACTTCATGATACTAGCACAACAAGTTCAGGTCATGTAAAATACCTTGACCATGGTCTCATGCAAAGCAGGCTTGTCAAGGTATTCCCTCGCCTTAGCTGCAGCATATGCCTGAGAAAGTTACGAGTCAAACATCAGGTCCATCAAACAGTACTGAGAAGATCCGGCAAAAGTGGAATCAGAAATATGCAAGAACCTGAAGATCCTCATTGTTGGTGACAAATTGCACCACTCGATACCATATATCATCACTTACAAAATCTCCCGCTTTGTCTATCAACTGAAGTATAACATCAACATACCTACACAAACAATAGTTAGATATGCCCAACACTTCGCAATGACCTGAAGCTACAGAAATAAGAAATCAGCATAAATTAGTGTGTCCTTCTCTCCAGTTATTACTCTACACAAAGTGCAGCAACCCAATACAGAAATATCAGCTTTGTAGCCTGGTCAAGGTAAACCCATTTTAGGTGAACAGCTACTTGATCGGGTTTGCAGGTTACTGGCTGTGCATGCAAAAATACCGCATGTAGCATGTATGTAACGAATACATGCAAGGCAATTTAACTTTCAAGTTCAATAAGCAATACCAAACAGTGAAATATGGTCTGATCCCGTCGTAAAAATTCTTTACCATGAAAGATTTGGAGCAAACTTCTCTGCAAGAATGGCTGCCTTCAGAGCCAGCTCTTCACGCATTGCAAATTCAGCTGTGTTAAGATACTGAGGAAAATGAAGATAATAAATTAAGAACAGCACAGTAAGTATTAACAGGTGCCTACTTAGAAAAAAAAAATCGTTTGCAGGACCATTATCACAACATGAGTTACCTGCAACAACTCCTCAACAATTTCCTTTGCATTTGTAACATCACACATGCCATACAGCAAATCAAGAGCCCGCCTTCTAATGCTGCATGATAGAAAACACATAAACATTAGCACACCAAGTGTAGGTAAACATGTGAAAACATACTGAATTAATAAAAAAGATGCTAATAATATAAAACACCTCTTAAGTGGCCTGTGTACATAGCTGTGCACATCGTGTTAACTACTCAGTCATGATGGAGCTTAACACATAAGTACTGTTCTATTTTTAACACTGGGAGGGAGGGAGGGAGGGAGAGAATAGCAGAAGGCTGGTGGAGAAAACAGGGTTTCAAATGAAGCCAAAAAATATATGTGCCTCGAATCAAGCAGCATTTTAGTAGGAATCGTCTAATGGTACTTGGATATTCCAAAGAAACTGTTTTCAATGTAGTCAGATTCTAGGTCCAGCATATCGTGAATGTACTACTTCTCAGGAAGGATGTCAAACAAAATGTTCAAATAACAATTATTAATACAAGGTATGTACTCAGGCTTGCCTAAAGTAAAAAATGACATTAATGATTCAATTAATTGCAGAAGAATTCACAAATTAGATTTAAGTGGCTTGGCTGTCACAAAAAGAATGCAGCAGGATACTCCCCTACATTGAAAAATAAGGTGAGGAGTTCCAAACTATCGACCTTAGGTCAAAATTGTGATCTGACTGGTTTGAACTTCTTTATATATTATTATTTTTTCAGTGTTAACCAGTTTATAATATCTATGCAACCACAGATGTTGGAAAGTCCTCAGGTACCTGATATCTGGATCCTTCAAAGACGTAATGATCTGAGCCTGGTGCCTTTTTATTATATCCTGTACATCTGTTACTAACAGCATTCTACTCATGTTCTCCTGTGAAGATGAATGGAATGTTGTTACATTATAGTAAAATTTACAGTCACGCAGTTTGATTCTAGTGCAACATCGGGAGACATATGGCGTAAAATCAAGTGAAGGCGCTATTGCAAAGGAGCATGCTTAGCCACTTACCAGACCAAGATACCTAATATTGGGCTCCCTGACAGCAATAAACTTGCCGAGAAGAGCCACGCATTGGGACATCATCTCCTTTTCAGCATCAAGATGCATTACCTGCATTGAGGATAAGTATTGCACAACAATTTTTTATAAGGAAAAGGAAGAGATGCTTAAGCATAAGAGGCTGTCGAGATAAAATCTGAATTAAAAATTGATGTAGGAGAGGAAATGACAAGACAAGTTGCTACGAAAGAAAATAAACAGTAGAAGCCCAAAAAGATAGCACGAACCCACCAGAGCAAGAGCTTCAAAGAGGACAGCATGTGAGGCATTATTCTTGTTGACGTTTTTAACGACATCAGTACCCATCAAAATACGCTGTAAAACCTACAGAATTACAGGAACCATTATAATCCATGAACTATTTGTATATGTGGAGTACAGTAGTAAAAAGAGTTGTACCTCAAACAAAGCTCGCCTTGCACTAGGATCTTCAATGGTAGGGAAGTACTGAAGAGCTCTCATTGCCTTAACCTGAAATATTAATAAAATTAATTTTAAAAACTAATGAATGTGCAGAAAAATTGCATCCAACATGAACAGCAGGTATATATATTTCTTTGAACAACCCAGCATAAAAAGTAGATAATGGATGTGATATAATTCAATTTTAAGAAGACAATGGAAACAATGTGTCCTGCCAGGGCCACACAAGCATTGTGTAAAACTACCACCCACTAAATAAAAACAGAACGTAATGTTCCAACCATAGCAACTCCACCAGCTTTGAGTTCAGAATATCATAAGATTTTGTTGCTTACCTAGTATGCACATCAGAGATTATGTAATATTAATTTATGGCTTGTGAAATGCGCGGCTTAGCATTGTAACTTTCTTTAGCCACAACCCAAGTACATGCTTAATAATTCACATCACATTTGCACACCGAACTCCAGAGATTCAAATGTTTACGATAACAAATCACAGAAAGAAGCATGCAGCTATTTACGTTTTTTCCCGGTCAAGCGCGATAGTAGGTAACAAACATAAATGGCACAAACCAATTATATGAAAATAAATCAGACACACAGTATTTGAAGACCAGCTGAAAAATAAAATCACAGGTATGCAATCAGAGTTGAAGGAGAGCAAGATTTCAGCAGGTTATGACCGAATAGATTCAACAATCTCCATACAAATTTATGCAGACCTAACTTTAACCAAGCTGGATGAGACAAGGAAAGAAAAGAAAATACCTGAAGCCAAGGAGATGGAATTCCATAGTAGGTGTATTCTTGGGGAATATCTTGGTTTCTTGCCATCCTCTCCAATATTCTTACACACTTTGGAAGGCAATTCCAATATGCTTCAGCATTATTAGATACTAGTGAGACAAAAAGGCTCATGACAGATGTCAGCACACCTAGATCACGCTCATCTAGAAGTTGTGCCATCCGATCAGACCTGACATACGAAATGCAATTAGCTAAGCAATTGTGTGCAGTGGGTAATAAAACTTCATGTTCCGTTATGTTAGTACCAGCCATCGATATTCACAACATCTGGGTTCTTCCTATAAAGTCGCAGAAGGCATAGAGCAGCCTTCTTTCTGACTACAGGCCGGCAGCTGCTTGAAATCTGATGAGTAGGTGTTTCATTAGTCCAATCACTCAAATAAGAAGATAGGGCTTGAAATCTGATGAGTAGGTATTATCCACTTACAAGAAGTTTCTGGACATCAGGGGCCAATGACTCAGAAAATTCTTTCCCACCAATATTACCTACCTGAAACGGATTTAATTAAGGAAATACACATAGAATAGAAGGCGCAAATTTTCTATTTCATTAAATAGCTGAGTAATGCACAATAATAAAAGCCACTTAACAAAGCCCAAAATAAAGTAAATTCTCATAATACTGGGAAATTTTGTCAGTGCAATTCAGGTTTTGGTTGTTAAATTCCTAAGGAGTAGTTTTTACATCTTGATGTCCTTTTGCATCACTATCTTTTTCTGGTATCGAGTAACATTTCCCAAATGTGATGTCTGGTGTATGCAATAGTTAGAAAAGGATGTTTATAATAGTACTAGATTACATATTCGCAAAAGCAGTTCTATTTTATCAGATTTGTTCACAATAAAATGTGTACGAAATTCAAGTAAATCGAAAGAAGATACAGAGATAGAAGAGTAGAACAGGATGACATACCATCGTCAATGCTAAGCACTGATAAGTCTCATTTCGTCCTATTATGTCATTGCGTACTGTATTTATGACCATCCTTAGAAAATCGTTATTCTCGTTAAGTAAACAAGATGTCACGATGTATCCAACCTGCAGCACAATCAAAAGGTAGCAATTAGGAAACAAATTGTACTACTGGAAAGGAGAGATAATTGAGAATTTCAAAGATGCGGCTTTCACCTGTTTCTCAGGATACTTCGGCGCGGATATCAAAGAAACAGTTTCCATATGTCCAAAATCAACATCGTAACCCAGCATATGTATATAAAGCATTTTCCAAACATACTTTTTCTTCTCGTAATGCGACAATCCCTGCAAGATGGCAGATAATGGTGCTTTTTAGTAAGGTTGATTTTCTGCTGCCTTAATTGCTACAATACATGCATATAGTATCAGTGCCAGCAGTACAACCCTGTGGGGTCAAACACACTGTTCTTGGTTTTAAATTCATGATGTTTTACTAGTATGATAACTTAGTTTTGTTAGAAGAAAAGCTGTGGGTTAAATGACCCTGCAGCCTCAACATTGCACCACCAGTCATGTGCTGACGAGACCAATACCACTTTACACTTAGGATTGTACATGTCTAGCACAACTGGCCTGACATGAAGGTGTATATCGAAATATGGTAGGTCTTTATTTTAATCTGACTCTACAAACACCTGGTATGTGCAAGATGTATGCACACGTCCATCCATGTATGGATGAGGATTATACTGTTATGCAACTAGCAACTAATTGCTATATGATTTGGTTGGTTTTCACATCCTTCGGGAGAACTCCCGCCTATGTAATGGGGGTTATCACGCCTATTGTAATCAAGCATGAATTAATCAAGTTAATACAGTAGTTCTTAGTCTAGTTTAAGAGTATTTATCATAGTGCACGAGTGTGCATTACAGCAGCTTGATGCACATGCATTCAGGCATATGATGCTTTTCTAGTGGATCAGGCATATGATCACTGTTTGTTGTAGCACCAATTTCATATGTAGCAGTGCCACTTTGCCACAAAACACCGAACTAAGATACCACGGTGTGGAGCTTTGCTTTGTACTCCCTCCGTCCCATAATATAAGAACGTTTTTTATACTAGTGTAGTGTGAAAAACGCTCTTATATTATGGGACGGAAGGAGTAATTTATAGTGTGGGCACAAACTATATGTGCCAGCATCAATCAAACCTCCAAAAAATTTATTACTATGGTAATATACACGACAGTCTTTCGTGTAGAAGATAAAAACGCTGTTGATAGATTTTTCACCAAAAGTAACCATGTGATTTTTGTTGCTAACATTCATCTAGGACCAAATATCATTGCCAGTAGTGTGCATGGGATGGGAGGCTATGTCATTGTCTACAAAATGTGATCAACAGGATTTGAGGTAGAATGTAGCTTCACAACATTTTGACAGTTAGTTTTGAATGCAGAGTTGGTCCTGGCTGGTCTAGCATACGGAAGTGGAATGTAAACTGAGAGATTAGCTTATTCGCAACCCGGTAGTGCACTTTGTAGCCATTATAAACCTTTCAGTGTCAGTTTAGGACGGTGGTTGTATAGTAGTAAACTGTTAGCAGGTGATAATGACTCAACCCAAGGTCATTGAGCTTCACAATGTCTGCCCCAGCAGCTCAATTCCCTTCAAATAGCTCTGCCCTAGCAGGTGAATTCCAACCCCAAACTAGTTAGTTACTCGAGGCAATCGTCAGCACCACTGCTTCAGAGTTGCATCTGAACTTTGCGCCGCAGACCAAGCACAATCCAACAGAGTAGGATGAGGGTACTGGCCACCATCCACCAAACATTTCGAGGCTACTACTAGTACGACCCAATTGGCAGGTCCGTAATTCCCGTGGAGCGGAAGCCGGCCTGAATTCTCCCAGATCGCGAAATGGATGGGAGGGGATGGTACCTTTTCGTTCTTGAAGCGGGTGCGGATGTTGCCGAGCTCCTTGTCGACGCGGAGGCGCTCCTGCTCCTTGTTGTGGCAGTTGCGGATGTCGCTGATGAAGACCGACAGCCCCCGCATCCCGGAGAGCGCCATCCCCTCTCTAGGGGAAGGCCCAGATCTGCTCGCCGCCGCGCGAGATCTGGCCGCCCTCTCTAGGAGGGGAGCAAAACCCTCTGACCGGAGTGGATCGGCGCGCGGAGGTGGGGGATTCGGTAGGGGAGGGAGACGACCGGCGACGGTGAGGATCTGGGCTGCCTGCCTCGCTTTTTCGCTGCTTTCTTTTCTTTCTTTCTGGATCCTCCTCCTCCCTGTCTCCAGTCTCCTCTCCTCCTGTCCTCCCTGGTTGGTTGGGCCGATATTTTAAAATGTTTGTCAAGCATATATATAAGCTTAGTTTTATTTCTGATTGTTTTCTACAGGGGTTATTTGATTTGTAGATCACTAGTTTTTTTTTTTTGAACGGTCACCGGGGGAGAGCCTCCCCACCTGAATATACTACCACTCAAACGAGAGAACCGAGAGTCACAGCATAGTTCAGATTACAGTTTTTTTCAGACAGAGGGGATTGCAGCGGAGAGAAAGTGTAGCCACTGCCTAGCAGCGGCACAATCTTCAGTTTTTTTAAACCTGAAGACCCAGATAGAGAAGTCTGCTACAATGTTTCTTATCGTTACTCGGGGGTGGGTGATCTTCTTTTCTGAACACAAGAGCGTTTCTCGAGTCCCATAGCTTCCATGAAACTGTCAAGGCCACTGATGGCCAGATGTTGGGGTTGAGACCCTGAACTGACGGTTGTTGGTGGAGAGCGTCGAGGGATGACGGTTGTTGGTGGAGAGCGTCCAGGAGCAGTTGGAGATGAGGTGGAGGGCATCTTCACACGGATCTTGACATCGTGGGCATGCAGCCGATTGAGCAATATGCTTGTGAAACATGTTAGCCTTCGTATTTAGGCGATCGTGAAGGAGAAGCCAGGCGAAGATTTTGACTTTGATCGGGACCTTGGAGGACCAGACAAAATCATGATGAGGATCGAAGGAGTCTTGCGCCACAATGCTAGAGTAGGCATTTTTGGCTGAGAAGGGAAGCCTATGCGTGAGTGGCCGCTCGTCTTGTCTGTCCGAGTGTTGAAAATCCTGCAGCAACAACAAAACACAGTCCAACTCGCGAGCAGCAGCATTAGTAAGACGGTTCCGTAGGTTTGATAATAAGTTGTTTTGCCAGATTGTAGCCACTAACACCTTGTCATCTATGGAGTGCGAGTAGAGGTGTGGGAAGGCTTTGTGGAGCGGGCAGCTGAGAAGCCATTTGTCCAGCCAAAAGGTGGAGAGATGATGACCCACAAGTGTAGGGGATCTATCGTAGCCATTTCGATAAGTAAGAGTGTCGAATCCAACGAGGAGCAGAAGAAAATGATAAGCAGTTTTCAGTAAGGTATTCTCTGCAAGCACTGAAATTATCGGTAACAGATAGTTTTGTGATAAGGTAATTTGTAACGAGTAGCAAGTAATAAAAGTAAATAAGGTGCAGCAAGATGGCCCAATCCTTTTTGTAGCAAAAGACAAGTCTGGACAAACTCTTATATGAAGGAAAGCGCTCTCGAGGACACATGGGAATTATCATCAAGCTAGTTTTCATCACGTTCATATGATTCGCGTTCGGTACTTTGATAATTTGATATGTGGGTGGACCGGTGCTTGGGTACTGTCCTTACTTGGACAAGCATCCCACTTATGATTAACCCCCATTGCAAGCATCCGCAACTACAACAGAAGTATTAAGGTAAACCCAACCATAGCATGAAACATATGGATCCAAATTAGCCCCTTATGAAGCAACGCATAAACTAGGGTTTAAGCTTATGTCACTCTAGCAACCCATCATCTACTTATTACTTCCCAATGCCTCCCTCTAGGCCCAAGCAATGGTGAAGTGTCATGTAGTCGACGTTCACATGGCACCACTAGAGGAATGACTGTTGGGGAACGTAGCAGAAAACAAAAAAATTTCCTACGGTTTCACCAAGATCCATCTAGGAGTTCATCTAGCAACGAGTGATCGGATTGCATCTACATACCTTTGTAGATCACGCGCGGAAGCGTTCAAAGAACGGGGATGAGGAAGGCGTACTCGACGTGATCCAAATCACCGGAGATCCTAGCGCCGAACGGACGGCACCTCCGCGTTCAACACACGTACGGTCAGCGTAACGTCTCCTCCTTCTTGATCCAGCAAGGGGAAGGAGAGGTTGAGAAAGATGGCTCCAGCAGCAGCATGACGGCGTGGTGGTGATGGAGCTGCAGTACTCCGGCAGGGCTTCGCCAAGCTCTATGGAGGAGGATGTGTTGGAGAGGAAGAGGGAGGCACCAAAGGCGTGGTTTGAGAGGCCCTCCTTCCCCCATTATATATAGGGAGCCTAGGGAGGGGGCGCCGGCCCTAGGAGATGCAATCTCCTAGGGGGGCGGCGGCCAAGGGAGGAATCCCTCCTTCCCAAGGCACCTAGGAGGTACCTTCCCCCTTTAGGACTCTTCCTTTCTTGATCTCCTGGCGCATGGGCCTCTTGAGGCTGGTGCCCTTGGCCCATATAGGCCAAGGCGCACACCCCTACAGTCCATGTGGCCTCCCGGGGCAGGTGGCCCCACCCGGTGGACCCCCGGGACCCTTCCGGTGGTCCCGGTACAATACCGGTGACCCCGAAACTTGTCCCGACAGCCGAAATAGCACTTCCTATATATAATTCTTTACCTCCGGACCATTCCGGAACTCCTCGTGACGTCCGGGATCTCATCCGGGACTCCGAACAACATTCGGGTTACTGCATATACATATCCCTACAACCCTAGCGTCACCGAACCTTAAGTGTGTAGACCCTACGGGTTCGGGAGACATGTAGACATGACCGAGATCGCTCTCTGGTCAATAACCAACAGTGGGATCTGGATACCCATGTTGGCTCCCACATGCTCCTCGATGATCTCATCGGATGAACCACGATGTCGAGGATTCAAGCAACCCCGTATACAATTCACTTTGTCAATCGGTATGCTACTTGCCCGAGATTCGATCGTCGGTATCCCAATACCTTGTTCAATCTCGTTACCGGCAAGTCACTTTACTCGTACCGTAATGCATGATCCCGTGACCAGACACTTGGTCACTTTGAGCTCATAATGATGATGTATTACCGAGTGGGCCCAGTGATACCTCTCCGTCATACGGAGTGACAAATCCCAGTCTTGATCCGTGTCAACCCAACAGACACTTTCGGAGATACCCGTAGTATACCTTTATAGTCACCCAGTTACGTTGTGACGTTTGGTACACCCAAAGCACTCCTACGGTATCCGGGAGTTACACGATCTCATGGTCTAAGGAAAGGATACTTGACATTGGAAAAACTCTAGCAAACAAACTATACGATCTTATGCTATGTTTAGGATTGGGTCTTGTCCATCACATCATTCTCCTAATGATGTGATCTCGTTATCAATGACATCCAATGTCCATAGTCAGGAAACCATGACTATCTATTGATCAACGAGCTAGTCAACTAGAGGCTTACTAGGGACATGTTGGTGTCTATTATTCACACATGTATTACGATTTCCGGATAACACAATTATAGCATGAATAAAAGACAATTATCGTGAACAATGAAATATAATAATAATCCTTTTATTATTGCCTCTAGGGCATATTTCCAACAGTCTCCCACTTGCACTAGAGTCAATAATCTAGTTACATTGTGATGAATCGAACACCCATGGAATTCTGGTGTTGATCATGTTTTGCTCTAGGGAGAGGTTTAGTCAACGGATCTGCTACATTCAGGTTCGTATGTACTTTACAAATATCTATGTCTCCATCTTGAACATTTTCACGAATGGAGTTAAAGCGACGCTTGATATGCCTTGTCTTCTTGTGAAACCTGGGCTCCTTGGCAAGAGCAATAGCTCCAGTGTTGTCACAAAAGAGCTTGATCGGCCCCGACGCATTGGGTATGACTCCTAGGTCGGTGATGAACTCCTTCACCCAAATTGCTTCATGCGCTGCCTCCGAGGCTGCCATGTACTTCGCTTCACATGTAGATCCTGCCATGACGCTCTGCTTGCAACTGCACCAGCTTACTGCCCCACCATTCAAAATATAGACGTATCCGGTTTGTGACTTAGAGTCATCCAGATTTGTGTCGAAGCTAGCGTCGACGTAACCTTTTACGACGAGCTCTTCGTCACCTTCATAAACGAGAAACATTTCCTTAGTCCTTTTCAGGTACTTCAGGATATTCTTGACCGCTGTCCAGTGTTCCTTGCCGGGATTACTTTGGTACCTACCTACCAAACTTACGGCAAGGTTTACATCAGGTCTGGTACACAGCATGGCATACATAATAGAACCTATGGCTGAGGCATAGGGGATGACACTCATCTCTTCTATATCTTCTGCCGTGGTCGGACATTGAGCTGAGCTCAATTTCACACCTTGCAACACAGGCAAGAACCCCTTCTTAGACTGATCCATATTGAACTTCTTCAATATCTTATCAAGGTATGTGCTTTGTGAAAGACCTATGAGGCGTCTTGATCTGTCTCTATAGATCTTGATGCCTAATATATAAGCAGCTTCTCCAAGGTCCTTCATTGAAAAACTCTTATTCAAGTAGGCCTTAATGCTGTCCAAGAGTTCTATATCATTTCCCATCAAAAGTATGTCATCTACATATAATATAAGAAATGCTACAGAGCTCCCACTCACTTTCTTGTAAACACAGGCTTCTCCATAAGTCTGCGTAAACCCAAACGCTTTGATCATCTCATCAAAGCGAATGTTCCAACTCCGAGATGCTTGCACCAGCCCATAAATCGAGTGTTGGAGCTTGCACACCTTGTCAGCATTCTTAGGATCGACAAAACCTTCCGGCTGCATCATATACAATTCTTTCTTAAGGAAACCATTAAGGAATGCCGTTTTGACGTCCATTTGCCACATCTCATAATCATAGAATGCGGCAATTGCTAACACGATTCGGACGGACTTTAGCTTCGCTACCGGTGAGAAAGTCTCATCGTAGTCAATCCCTTGAACTTGTCGATAAC